TGAAGTGTGTATATATATTATACTATGTTTTTATTCTATGATAGTGGCTAAATAAGCACTATACCAAGGCGAAATAAATACACATGAAGATGTAAACATATAATAATCATATAATCATATTAAGAATGTTTGATTACTTATTTAGTGAAACAAAGCACAGGACAGAATATGCAATTAGATATGATAAACATCAAAACAAAATGGCTATTTTCAGTGTCTGCATCATCATTGTAATTGTAATATCCGTTGCATATCAGTAATAATTTTTTATGTCGACATAATTATCAATAATAGCTTTATTTTTAGTCTGCACGAAATCAAAATGCACTGTTTGTTTTGCTAGCCTATATTAGTCTTAAGGTAAATAATTAATCTGCACAAGTTAATCCGCTGAAATAAATAGTTTGTTTTGGTAATCTTTAATCAAATTCGACCATTTGCAATTGGGCAAAAAAATGCTTAGCCTCGTTCCTCCGACCGTTAGTTTGCCACAAGAGAAATATGAGAGGAAAGGCACAAAAATAAAACCCCGCCTCCTATTAGAAATACATCATCATCATCATCATCATCATACTAAAATACAAATCTAAAGCCGTTTGATTCACACAGAAATGTAATACTTTAATGCATTAATTTTTTTTCTCTCTCAGGGTCGCTAATTAGTGATTAAGGATTTTCAGCAGTATCCAAACGCTCTCTCCGACATTGACTATGTAGAAACTGCGCATTTGTCCCTTGTAAACATGTATATTTATACACACAAGCACACTCGGCTCACTGAGAGGTCTGAGAGTCTGACTGGTGAAGGTCAGGAGTGTGTGAAGAGCTCTAGTGTTGGTCAGTGTGTCCTCAGAGATCAGTCAACTGACAGCACTTCAGCACTGAGAGGATCATGAGCTGGAGTGTGCGTGTGTGAAGTCTAAGTATTTGTCATATTGAGACCAAAAGTCCCCACATGTATAGTAATACCAGTCATTTTTGGCTTTCTCGCTCATAAATTATTTAGATTGAAGTATTTTGAAGATGTGACTGCAATATGTTTTCTTTGAGAGTTGGGTTTAAGTATATGGCCTGGAATTCTTGATTCTGATTAGTTGTGGCATTCCATGGTATGTTATTGCGAGATAACAACCACTGAAACTAATAATCACACCGATTCCAGCGACAAGCCATTTTTCTGTCTGCACCAAATAAATAAATGAATGCCAGCCACTGCAATTCAAATTAAATTGTGATGGTCCTTATCTAATTAATACTTAACAAATTTCTTTAACATTATTAAAATTCATAGACTACTGAGTGACGGTTGTTGACGTTCATTTGTGTTTTAGTTATTTTATTTTCAAGAACTGAGGTGAATTATCTGATGCTGCTTTCAGTAGCATGGCAATAAACACCATGTATGGTGTTTAAGCTCACATTGGTAGCAATAAATACTGAATAAAGCCCATAATCAGTACCTGAGGTTATCATTGTCATAGTAAAGTTGTAAAAAAAAAAAATAAATGAGTGAGAAAGAGAGAGAACCCAGTCCAGGAGACTCAGAACAAGCAGAATTCCTTTATTGAGACGTGTTGGTTAATCTGCAGTCATACAGCGCCTTTAAGATGTCCATGTGTCTGCAAGAGCCTACTAGAGGTCCGCAGTCTGCAAGTTCTTTCACGAGTCTCTCACACAAGTCTGAATTAGTCTGAATTGAGACAAAGATTTCATGTCTATATTGTGTTCTTAGGAGGAGGGGATTTGGCTAAACAAAGCATGCAAATTAAGGGTTGTGGTCGGCAGGGTAAACTGCTCTTTCAGGCATTGATCTCATCATGTTCTGGAGACAGAAACCGCCTGACCATTTGATCGAAAAGAGTAAACAATAGACACCCCATGCTGTGAAACTGACAATTTGCATTACTTTGGCTTAGCCTGTAATCAGAAAGACAAAAGGTAATGTCCCTCCTAGCTGGAATGTTAATGAAATTATATAATTAAAAACAGAGAATATAACTTTTTAGTTATACGTAGATTATTGTTAATTTGAAATTAGATGATAAAAATTTATATTTCCACAGTAGTTTATACTGTTGTATTTGTCGCGCCATTGCAAAAGTGAAACTGTTTCAAACTGAAAAAAGATCTTTTATTTTTGGGGCACTGTGCCATCTGCCTACTTCAAATCATCTTGACCATCAGTGAATACCTTCAGGATTATATAAATACAAATTGTCACGCCACTGTTTTTGACAGTTTAGCGCCCTCTTGCAATTGAAAAATATGTAGGTTGGTGTATACTCCATTCAGTCACACTAGTTTTGCTCTTAGTTTAAGAATTAGGATATTATTATTGCCCAGAACAATGTTTTCTTCCAATTTTTACATTTTGTTGCTAGTTGCTGTGTAATAAGTGGATTAGGCAATTGTGTGTGTGTGTGTGTGTGTTTTTTTTATTTTTTTTTTTATAGAATAAATCCCCTTTGGTCTTTTACAACACAGCTTTGCTTCACGTTGGGCTGCTTATAAACCTGTTAGGATTTATTCTGCAATATTATCTGGATGGGTTTACTTTATTCTGTATATAAACATCATTACGTCTATATGAAGTCCTCATAAAACACGAAAATCCAAAATATGTGTGTACTTTATATTCATCATATTGTGGGTACCACATGTCCCCAGGAGTATTGCAAAACCAGTTCTTTTTGACCTTGTGGGGTCATTGTTTTTGGTCCTCATGAGGAAAACAGCTCCTAAATCACACAAGATGAATAATTTTGAAGACGTACAGGATGTTTGCTGTGAGGGTTTGGGGGAAGAGAACAGAATATACAGCCTGTACAGTATAAACATCAGTTCATCTATGAAAAGTGCCCATAGAGATAGCTGTATGTGTGTGTCACTGTGTGTGTGTGTGTGCTGCCACTCTGTCCCTCCATCTCTCTGTCTTCATTCATCTTTCGCTTTGAGCTCCAGAAACTGGTCTGACAGCGAGAGGTTTGAGGAAAGAGCAACAGAAGGACACGCTGATCTGAAGGAAACGAAACCTGCTCTTTTAAACGGCTGCTTTCAGATGCCTTCACATGCGTTTCTGCGCTCAGGAAACACCTTCTGCTGCTTATTCATGTTTTTGTCATTAACCTGTCAGTCAAGATATGATCACCACCTACTGTGTTAAAGGGAAAGCTTACTCTACAATCAAAACTCACATCCTGTTTATTTGGTTCTGGACATTTATAATTTTGCATGTCAGTTGCCTAAAAAATGATTTTTAGTACATCACTGTGGTAAATGTTACTGTTACAGTTTACGTAAACACCGAATTCTCATACATTAATCTTTAGTACACCAGTCATTTCCAGAGTTTGTGAGAAAAAAAATTATGCACAGAAGTTTTTGCACAGTAGTTTGAGTTTATAATAAAAAAAAAGTCAGATGTCTTTAAAAAATACTTTGAATTTGAAAGACATGCATTATCCTCCTGGCGTTGTATGGGTTCGTTTGGTGCAAATTTATGCACTTTTGGAAGCTTCAAAAAACCACTATCCAACACCATTATACAGCATGGAAGAGGATGAAAAAATTAAACTACTCCAACTGTGTTCGTCTGACAGATAAAAGACACATACACCAAGGATGGCTTGAGGCCGAATAAATTATATGTTAATTTTCATTTCGAGGTGAACTGTTCTTTTAAGTGGATGTATTCATTGAGCTATTAAAGATTGTGAGTACTTACTCAACACTTCACATTCACATCATGTTCTGTCAATTCTGAAGGTTTTTATGAAAAATGTCAGCAGTTTTAACATTTTTTTTTTTAAAGCTAGACAAAGAAGTAGCACTAATTTGAACCATACTAAGTCCGTTTTTGAATGTTTGCTATCCCATGATTCCTTTTGTATAGTGATTTGAGCATTCATTTCCAGTGGTGGAAAGAGTACTGAAAAATTATACTCAAGTAAAAGTACCAATACTTCTCCAAGCATGTAGTACAAGTTGAAAAAGTATCTGTTGTAAAAATTACTCAAAGTATACATGCATAGTAGCCCTTTTAAAAGTACAGGTGCTGGTCATATAATTAAAATAGTCTTCAAAAGTTGATTTATTTCACTAATTCCGTTCAAGAAGTGAAACTTATAAAATGCATACATTCATTTCACAAAAACTTATACATTTTAAGTGTCTATTTCTTTTAGTTTTGATGACAACTAATGAAAACCCCAAACGCAGCATCCCAGAAAATGAGAAATTGTGTAAAGGTTCAGTATTAAAGACACCTGGGGACACACTCTAATCAGCTAATTAACTCCAAACACTTGCAAAATCCTTTAAATGGTCTCTCAGTCTAGTTCTGTTGGCTACACAATTATGGGGAAGATGGTCATCTTTTGGACAACTGACAAATCAGCCATTGACACCTTGCACAAGTTCACCTGTACTCAGAGCTTTGTCCAGGCACATTAATAGAGAGGTGAAGGGAAGGAAAAGATGTAGTAGAAAAAAAAGTGTACAAGTAATAGCGATAAACGCATCCCATTCAAAAAATGTGGGGGAGATTCAAAAAGAGTGGACTGCAGCTGGAGTCAGTGCTTCAAAATCCACTGTGCCCAAATGTATACAAGATATCTGTTTCAGCTGTTACATTTCTTGTCAAGCCACTCTAGAACAACAGACAGCGTCAGAAGCATCTCATCTGGGCTAAAGACTGCTGAGTGATCTCAAGTTGATTTTTTTTTCCCTTGTTGATTTGATTGGCTAAGAATAATCAGTCCTGTGATTCCCATCAAATCACCATAGACAAGAAAATAAGGAAGTGACTGCAGTTTGAAGGAAAATATACCGATGCTGCACTAAAGAGGCATTCGAGTAAAAGTACATGCATTTAAAACTACTTAAAGTACAATTCCTAAGAAAACCTACTTAATTACAGTAATTTGAGTATTTGTCGTTTGTTACTTCACACCACTGGTCCTTTTTCAAATTGTGAGATTGTTTTCATCTTCTCTCATCAGGTATGAGATCCGGGACACACACATGGTGGAAGAGAGCGTCCTGACAACCCTGAAGGATAAAGCGGATTTCTCCAGCTTCAAGCCTCGGCCCTTCAACATGCGCGAGTTTTACGACCGGACAGGCCACGACATTAAGGAGATGCTGCTGTCCTGTTACTTCAGAGGATCCGAATGCAGCGCTGAAGACTTCACAGTGGTGAGTCAATAACTTTCTCAGTTTCGCTGATGTCACGAACGCCGGAATCTCATTGTAAGAGATTGGAATTTTGGAAATGGAGTGTTTTCGGGGTGTTCTCTTCACTGTATTAATTAACTGATAAATTAGCGGTTTTCTGTATTTCTGTAATTCTTGCTTTTTTCTGTTTATTTATGTATTTGAATTGCATTATGGGACATTGATCTTTCTACTAACAACTTTTGATGTTAAAAAGTTGAAGTTGGTAAAAAAGTGACTTTTATTGACATTTGTATTCGTTTGAAGCATCATATTGATCAAAAGTACGCTGTGGGGTACCTTAAGGCTCAGTGCTTGGTGCCTTGCTTTTTACATTATATATCCTACCGCTATTGGTGATATCATGAAAACATAAAACTCATTAAATTACACACACAAAACTGATTGTGTAGCTAATATAAAAATTCTGACTATTAAGGTTATTTTCAGGCAAATTTTAGGCGATTTTTCATCTCTAATTTTTGCACATTAAAAAATACATTTGACCTCACTTTGTGTCAATCGAATTGACACACTCCGTCTGAAACTTTCGTTCATCATAAAAACAATTTAACTGGATTCAACTTTTTTATTTATTTATTTATTTATTCCACCCCCCCTCCCAATTCAGAAAAAGCACTTTGAGAGGTGTTTTGACAGTTCAGATCCACGGTACAGGTGAACAGCTAAGTACAGAATGCCATCATTAGAGCTATAGATAACTTTGACAAACAGTGCATGAAATAAAGACCGAATGTGGCGAACAGTTGAGAACCCATGACTGGACGCGCCTCTGCCCTGCTGCTGTTTGGTTAGTGTGTCCGTACATTAGATGTACTGCCCATAGACATTATAATAGAAAGCATGGTCTGCTTTCGGTCCATTGCTTGGGCATTACAGCGTGCCCCCAATCTGTTGTAACGTCTATAGGTACTGCCAGTCTCTGTTCTGGATTTATTTACGTATGTGAATGGGTGAAATAGGCCTATCACCAGCAAAGTATTAAAAATCCACTGATTTCCTAAAATAAACTTTGCATTTCGGTATAATCCAGCGCAGCTCTTTGATAATGAGCGGAACTCTTTTCACTCTATGCAATATTGGTTGAACACACTATGTAGCCTATTCCTGTTTCTTTTTCTACTTTGGAGAAGAGAGAGAACAAAGTAGCACTGCTTAAATGTTAAATGGACTCACAAAGGTTTTGCATTTTGTAATGGAGTTATTAATACGCATCATATTATAATATATATATATATATATATATATATATATATGTATATATATATATATATATATATATGTATATATATGTGTATATGTATATATATGTGTATATATGTATATATATGTGTATATATATATATATGTGTATATGTGTATATATATATATATATATATATATATATATATATATATATATATATATATATATATATATATATATATATAATCTTGGTCTGTGTTTTAAAATTATAGTAAAAAAACTTTCTATTTATTAAAAAAAACTTGATTCTATATATATATATTATTTAATATACTATATATAATTTCAAACTACATAAATGTCAATAAAAGTCACTTTGTTAGACTGCAGTGTTGAATTTGTAACATCAAATGCAGACAGAGCAAAGATAAAGGTACCATAATGCAGTTCATACATATGTAAATAAACAAAATATGTAAATAAACACACCTGTAGATCACAAAATACGTAAAGGGTTAATTAACGGATGTTTATAGGGATTTATAGGCATACCAGTGACTTTACTGTTGACTTTTTGGACATGTTGTCTTTAGGTCATGTGTTAAGTTCGTACAGTCGTACCAAAGCAAGCGTTTCTGTCTGCTGAGATAGCAAGAGATTATTTTTTACCCATGGGGTCGTATCGATCTGATCCTCTGATAAAACCGTGAAGAGGCCTCACTTAAAAGATTCCTTTATTCTCCCGTGATCCGAGGATAAGGATTCAGGAATGGGTTTATTCGTCATCTTGCTGTGTCTGATTGATAACATCCAAAGAGGGAAAGCTTTTTTTTGGTCTCCCATGTGGTTGCTGTAACATTTGACAAGCCTGTTTCTGAAATATCTGTCTGCATAATCCTGTGCTTTGGGGGTAATTGCTGAAATGCTGGTTTGTTTTTGTTTCACAACAGTCCAATCCATCATCGTTTGATTTGTGCTGAGATTGAACGAGCATTTAAATAATTGCTTAATTTGCTTAGCGTTACGCTGATGAGAGATGAACACTGACATCTCCGAGTACTCCAGATCTAAACCATGTAATGATTGATTTGAAACCACTTCCTCTGTCAGATTTTATTAGAGTTTTGTCTCAACGTCTGAGTTTTAATAAGGCAAATGCACCAAAATGTGAAAATATTAATTGCTTCACCAATTAAATTCGTTACAGCTAAAAAAAAAAAATAAAAATTCATTGCTGTTTTCAGTAATAAATTAAGTTGAAAATAATAACTCTTAGGTATAGCAGGTATCTATTTAAATTTTAGTGTTTTTTTCCCCCATTGAATTTTAGGGTAGAATAATATTGACTAATCTTGATTTGTTTTGCATGTTTATGGTTGGTTTTGGCCTGTTATAGATGGAAAATTAAACTGAAACCACCAGAGGGTGCAAGATGCCCATTGTTTTAATGGATGATTTATTAGTTATTCAAGTGATTCATTTAAAAATGCTGAATAATTTAGACTCAAAGCAAATGGCTGCTTTATTAAAGGGTCCTTTACCAAAACTTGATTTGTTCGTGAATTAGTGTTGATTTTGAATGATTTGTTTAGCTGTCAGTGTTGTTCTTGCGTGACTGAATAACTTTGGCAATACAAGTGATTCATTCAAAATTGCTGATTCGTTTAGAAACAAAGGACTGCTTTTATTAATGGACCCTTCCCTGAATTATTGAACCAAATAATTTGTCAGAATCGCAGTGTTGCTCTGAGATAAGAGTGAAAAACATTGTTTTTAGATGAATCATCAGTTTTGAATGAGTCACTTGAATTACCTAATTAAAAACAAATGAATGTCTTTATTAATGGATCCTTCAATGAAACATTGAGTCAAATGATTTGTTTAAGAATCATAGTGTTGCTCTTAGTTATGAGTGGAAAACATTGAATTGGTTATTTAAGTGACTCATTCAAAACTGCTGATTCATTTAGAAACTAAGCAATGACTGCCTTTATAAATGGACCCTTCACCGAATCATTGATTCAAATCATTTGTTCAAGAAACACAGTGTTGCTATAATATCAATGAAAAGCATTGAATTGGTTATTCAAGTGATTCATTGAAAACTGCTGATTCATTTGGAAACAAAGCAAATGACTGGCATTATAAATGGATCATTCACTGAATCATTGACTCAGATGATTTGCTCAAAATCACTGTGTTGCTCAGATGTATGGCTGCGTCCGAAACCGCATACTTTCATGCTATTTAGTATGCTAAAATCAGTATGTGAGCAGAGTAGTATGTTCGAATTCATAGAATTCGAAAATCAGTATGCGAGAAGTACCCGGATGATTTATTACTTCCGGTGAGATTCTGAAGTGCGCATCGCATGCCTGCTGTGCTATCCCGTGATGCTCCATGAGAGAATTCATAAATGGGAGTGAAGCAACGCAACTGACGCATGTAGGTCACGTGACCATGACAAAATGGCGGATGTAGTTCGTCCAAATTCCATTCATTCTTTTCGCATTCATACTGTATAGATCGTACGAGTAGTATGTTTAAAATCAAATGCAGTACCTACTGAGTAGTAGGCGGTTTCAGACGCAACAAGCGAGTGGAAAACATTTAATCAATTATTTAAGTGATTCATTCAAAAATGCTGATTCATTTAGAAACAAAGCAAATGATTTGTATTAATGGATCCTTCACCTAAACATGATTTGTTCGTAAATTACAGTCTTGATTTTAAATGATTTGTTCAATAATTACTGTGTTGTACTTATGTGAGTGAAAAACATTAGTTATACAAGTGCTTCATTCAAAACTGCAGATTCATTTAGAAACAAAGCAAATGACTGCCTTTATTAATGGACCCTTCACTGAATCTTTGACTCAAATTGACACTCAAATTTGACTGAATCTTTGTCAAAAAATCAGTGTTGCTCTGAGATATGAGTGAAAAACAATGTTTCTTAATGAATCAGCAGTTTTGAACGAATCACTTGAATTACCAATTCAAAGCAAATAAATGCCTTTATTAATGGATCTTTTACTGAATCATTGACTTAAATAATGTTTAAAAATCAGAGTGTTGCTCTGAGATATGAGGGAAAATCATTAAATTAGTTAAGAGATTCATTTAAAACTACTGATTCATTTAGAAACTAAGGAAAAGTCTGCCTTTATTAATGGATCCTTCACTAAATGACTGACTCAAATGATTTGTTCAAGACTCGGAGTGTTGCTTTGAGATGCACAAATGTTTTGCTCCAGCCTTTAGAGCTATTTGCATTAGTAAAGAAATCCATAATAATGTGTCTAACTTATGTACACATTGTTTATATAGTTTAGTACTTGTTTTATAAAAAACAAAAACACAATCTGGGGTTGTTTTTTTTTTTTTTTTTTTTTTTTTTTTTTTTTTTTTTTTAAAGCTATTAGCTAATAATTTTGGCTGCATATTAATACTTCATCATTTTTTTTAAACATAAGCATCTCACTTTAATGTCTACTCAAAAAACAAAATTACAGTATTACACACTCCAAAACTAGCTATGTTCATCTGTAATGTAGACTATTTTTAAATGAACTTAAGTGAATTTGGTGAACTTCTGTTTTGTTGTAGCATGATAATAATTCATTATCATCAACATTGACGTAAGATTAAAAGAGCACTCACTTACTCAGGCATTAAAGTTTTAAGATTTAAGACATTATCGGCATGGTTAGCTTGAATGAGTCTGATGGAAAAGCTTTTTAAGGTGGGCTGTCTCTGTGGATCAGTTTAAAG